AAACTTCTCTCTTGTTTTTCCTATTAGCCATATTTAATGCCATTATCTAAAATTATTATTATTATATATATATATTTTTTTTTTTTAAGAAAATGGTATATTTTAACCTAACAAATGAACTTTCTATTTTCAATTTTCAGGTAAAGTTTGTGAAGACACTTACTGGAACTGTCTGATGGTGACTCAAGCAAGACTGTGTTCATATGACTACTACAGACAACTGTGCTGTGAATCATGTCAAAAAGTCTGACATTAACTAACACAGTATATATTCCTAGTGTCATAATTTAGGTGATCTTAATTCACGGTTTTTCATACAGTAGTGCTGTAAAACTAAAAGAGCACCTGTGTTAGACCGTTGTTTCGAATGCAGCCCCGTTTTTAGAGGCAACTCACACAATGAAAGCTTTAAAAATGAAATAATGAAAATAGCAGTTGGTACTATGGGATACTAGCAATTCCATATAGCCAGATTTCGATATGTAATGATACACTTACCAAACAGACTTCTACAAAGTGCGTTGTTGATACTACAACAATTGTCTTAAGAGGAAATAGAGTAGTATTTATGATCTCTCACTGTTTGGTCTGTCGCTCTTAAAAGGAGGCTTCGTATGTGTACATTAATACCTTTGTGATAGCACTGAAAGCCTGGTATTGTAAATTGTATGTCATCACAATTTTTAAAGCGTGTTGTGCAGCTGGTAAAATAGAATTGGGAATGAGTTTATGAACTGCTGAATGTATTGCTTTTCTATTATATTTATTGTCAGATTACAAAGTAAAGGTTGTAGTTATAGGTTAACATTATTTTATGGTGGTGATTAATGAGAATTCTTGCCTGTTTGGTCCACTTGATAGTCTATTGTTAAAATATGCAACAACCTTGCAATGCGACTTATAATATTTACATCGTCTAATAAATCACAAACTGTTGAATACTAGATAGGTAAACAGACAGACAGGGGGGGGGGGGGGGGGGGGAGAGAGACAGAGAGAGAAAGAAAAAGAGAGAAAGTTACCGAGTAAATCAATGTTTTATCCTAATATAACATATGCGATAATGCATTATTTGTTTCAAGATTACCTTTATTTTGTGTTAGGAGTTGTAGATGTTGAATCTTGTTTGGGCGAGATAACAAAATTAGTTAGTTCTCTGTGATTTAGACATTCTTTGAAACGGTCGCGGCTTTGTTATAATATTTTTTTTCCTAATAACAACCAGTTAAGAGAACTCATAGAGACATTTAAAAAACTCGTTTGTAACAGCCGATGTTATTGAATTGCACTACAACATGGTAAAAGACAATTCATTTGATTAGATCTGTACTGTTCACAAAATTCACATATGGCCTTATGTAACTGGGGTAAATCTTTCCTGGGGAAACCAGGTTTTGAAAAATAGCGCTGTTATTTTTTTTAAATACTCTTTTCTATGACTCTCTCCTCTCTCTCTCTCTCTCTCTCTCTCTCTCTCTCTCTCTCTCTCTCTCTCTCTCTCACACACACACACACTCACTCTCTCTCTCATCTCTATCTCTATCGCTCTCTCATATCTATCTATGTATCTGTCTTTCTTTCTGATTGTCTGTTTGTCTGACTGCCTGTATGGCTGTTAATCTATCAATACGTCTGTCAGTCAGATTGAATGTCTATCTTTCTGTCTGCGTCTTTCTGTCTGTCGGTCTGTCTATTCTTCTATCTATATTTATATGTCTTTCTGTTTTTCTGTTTGTCGGTCTGATTGACTTTTTGTCTTTCTGCCTTTCTGTCTGTGTTTGTTTTCATAAAACCGGCAGTAAAAACAAACAAAAATGTACAAGTCGACTTTTATTGAATGTTTTCTGTTGAGCATAATGAAGTTAATTTAGATACTTCTTTGTATTAAAAAGTTAGGGTCAAAACATCAGTTCTAAAGATTCAATAAAGAATAAATAGTGTAGACGGACGCAGACGTTAAACTTTGGTGTACTGCATAAAAAATCATATGAAAGGAAAAGAAAAGGGGGGGGGGGGCAGCGGGAGGTGGGGGGGGGGAACAACAGTGTGGTTGAACTCTGCAACTTGGTAGTATAACCGAACTTACACATAACACTTTAGTGTACTATACAGTACAATATACGTATAATTTAACGCACACATAAGCAGTTGATATACTATACAGTAGCGATGCAATAATAAACAGTTTATTAAACTCACACATAAATCGTTGATTTACTACTAGAAGGTAAAGAAACAGTAATAAACAGTATAACTAAACGCACACATAAACTATTGAAATACTATAAGTAAAAATTCAGTAGTAAAACATATAATTGAACTTATACATACATTTTTGGTGTGCTGTATAGTAAAGTTGCTTAACGGCTAAACGTATAAATAAAAGATCGTTTTTCTCTTCTTCAAACAAGCAAGCGTTTTACAGTATAATGCCTTTATTGAGTCAAACGTGAAAGATACTGAAAAAGCTGCTAATTCTATACAGATCATACCTGCCTTAAATGGGCGAATCGACGCAGATGAAAATAGAGAGAGAGAGAGAGAGAGAGAGAGAGAGAGAGAGAGAGAGAGAGAGAGAGAGAGAGAGAGAGAGAGAGAGACAGAGACAGAGACAGAGAGATTGCATGTTGAATAATATAGCTAAAATTATGTATCTTTGTAAATATAATTTTTTTTTTAAACCGCAATGACTGGTTTACTCCTGTAAACTAACATTTGTGTACATGTGTTATTTCAGTATTCGACGAAAATAAATAAACAATGAGGTCTGACGGAAAAGGGGGTGGGGGAATCTGGGAGGTAATAGAAAAAGAAAAACGATTGTGTCTCAGAAGTGGAAGAAAAGATGATGCGGTCAGAGAAAGTGAAAGGAAAAAAACGAGGTCTGAGTGATTGAAGAATAGACTATGCTGTCTGAGAGTAGGAAGAAAAGACGATAAAGGTTAGAGAGGTGGAAGAAAAGAGACGCCTATTAATAAACAAGAATGAAATGAAGTTATTTTGTAACAATTCTGATCATGAGCCCTTCATATCTTTGTGGAGTTGAAAGATTACATCAATGACCACAGCGAAAGTCTACAACATGAAAATAGGAACACCAAGAGGCAGCTGGTGGTTTAGAAAAAGACGGACCAAGGGAGTCATTGGTATCTTGAGGCTTAATTATATCCCAGTATATCAAACAACCGAGCTCACCCTGGCTCGTCTACCTATCATACGTTAACCTGCGACGCCTACAGACATAAAGCAGATACTGACGAAATACAAAGAAAAAAAAATTCATGAGAACTGATTCGATTATATCGTTATAGAAGCTTAGAGGCCGTTATAATGAAGTAGAAGGCTGTCTTATTAAAGACACTGCAAGAATGAACACTGCAAAAGACCGTGTCTTTCGAAAGGGACACATTAGAGGGGCGTTCTACACACACGAATGTTATATGATCACAATGATGATGATGATGATGAAGATGAAGGATGATGAAGATGAACGATGATGATAATGATGACGGGGATGATGATGATGAATGATGGTGAGGTTGATGATAATGATTATGATGGTTGTTGCACTTAGTGACTAAATACATAAAGAAAAAGGTTTTAAGTGAAAGTACTTACAAGGAAAGGAATCATATAGAATACTGCTTTGTCTATTAAATTTCTAGATAGATATCATCATATCTACAAAAGAGATACTTTGAGGAAGCAAAGAAAATAATTAGTAAGTATCTTGATATCATCAAGTGTTCAGAAAAAAAATACTTACTGGCATGTGCGATCATGCCGTGCGAGAATTTTAACGCGATCTAACACAGTAATCCTTTAACCAACTCATTCACACACCTTGAGATGTATTTGGATAGATGAGGCTAGTCCCATATGATATAAATCTACATGCACTCTACGAGTGATGCTGTAATTATCACTCGTGCCACCATTACTTCCTATGATAATTCCTGGTGGGCTTAGTGGAATTTTTTTTAAAATACATTTGTTGAAGGTAATTAGAACATATGACCGACCACAAAACTGGTAAACGAGCTTGCAAAACGCTGTATTATAACGACTCTCTAAAAGAGAAAGTGTCAGGGGCATTGACATAGATAAAGTATTAAGGAAAGGGGTGCAGTCTTAGAGGTCACCTTACCTAATTACTGGTATTGCTAAGCCCTGAGATTATCGAAGGTACTGCATTTAAGAGGAGCTGAATTTAGCTGGCTGAAGAACCGACATGACAGCACCCGTGACCTTCCAATCCATTTTCATCAGCAAGCGAGGAGTTCCATTTCCGATGGTACCAGTAACAGTTTGATTATACTGAATGTAAAGTAGCTTATTCTTATTGACACGTAAACGTATGTTAGATGTCGCTGTTGAACGCCTAGTGTACATACATATTTGGTGTGATTATTGGCTTTTTTTTTTTTTTAAATTGTTACATATATGTGACTGCTGCTGAGTCTGTGCAAGGAAATACTGTTGTTTTTTCTTTGCTCTGTAAAGCAAGATTCAAACCATTGTACATTTCTGTCATAAATAAACAGCACATGCCAAAATATTCCATTGTGGGTAAAGTTACATGAAATTGAATGTATGTTAAGGTCATCATCGTCGCTTTGTCTCAGTGATGAACAAATATCCGTTTTTAAAAAGTCAAGTCAGTAATCCTTTTTTTTTTACACCAGTGGAGCTCAGGCCATTCAACTCTAGACTCATAATTTGTATAGAAATCGGCACAATATGCTCAACGTCAAGCCTGCCATTTTTTCTTCTTACAACAATGCCTCATACCTATTTATACTAGGTCGTCATGAGAGACATTGTTTTTTTTTTTGGGGGGGGGGGGAGGGGAGGGTTAAATCCGCCCTGATTCATATTTGATACCAGGGCCTTTTGGAGACAAGCGAACGCTTAGCCACTGTCTAGGCCTCGGCTCCATGATTCATTTCCTTCAGCCTGGCATTATTTTATCTTTTTATCTGTGTCCTCTTCTCCATCTTTCTACTCTCCTCTTTTCATTTCACTGTGTCCTTTTCTGATTTGCTCCATGACTATAAAGTTTGACATTTCACCTTTGCTCGCCTTTTCAGGTCACTTGTTGTTGTCCTAGATCTGTGGTAATCCAGTGCATTTTACATAGCTGTATTCATGTTATATATATATATATATATATATATATATATATATATATATAATATATATATATATATATATATATATATATATATATATATTCTGTGGACTCCAAAACCTAAGTTCTAAAAAGTTGGGCGATTTATATGTGTCTTTCTTTTTAATGAGAACGAATGTTTTCAAACAGCATTCTAAATTTTATGACTTATGATTGTATTGTAGAGCAGGCCCGCTCGACGTCCGTTGTGTCGTTTGACTTACCAATTGCACGTTTCACAAAAAAGGGTGATTGTGATGTGGGCCTTTTTTTTAAGACAGAACTTTCTGTTGTTAGAATTAGAGCCGAGATGATCGTCTTCATCGTTGCTGGTTATCCTACACAGTTCGTTATCTCTCCGCAGAACACTTGCTGACAGCATCGCACAAATCACACATTCCGAAGCTCTAGTTACGATCCCTAGGGATCCCTAAAAAATGGCACTCGTTAACCGAACAAAATGACTGTACGACGAACCCACAACCTTGAGAATGTGAGACAAAATGCTTTACTACTTTGCCACGAAGACCCCCCTCCCCGCCATGTTTCTACGGTAGACAAGGCGAGTCTCCTTGTCCAAACAAAACATGCGTACGTCTATTCATCATCATACTAATCATTATCGTCCTGTTATTCCACCGTACGTGGCACATAGCTCTCAGTCTATTCTTTCACCCCCTTCTACCCCTGCACAAATAGATTGCCTCCTTTGTCTTATAGCTGTTTATAAAAGCGACTGTTTGGACATTTCTTTTAATTCATCACTTTACTAGAATACACCACATTCATGTGAAAGGTGAATACAGACAATTGTTTAACATAATAGTAATCAGAGAAAATAAAATGCTCTTTAGATAGATTCAGTTGTATTATGTGTGTGTTAGAAAATAACAAAACTCAAAATTAGCAAAACAGTACCGTTAAATGCTAGCTCTGCCCTAAAGATAATCCCTCATGAGCCTCCAACATTGTCCTCGTTTTTCAATGCTCTCACTGGTATCTCTAAGTCAACTTTATGATGTTGTCTACTATGATGTTGTCTACTATGGTGTTGTCTGCTATGATGTTGCCTACTATGATGTTGTCTACTATGATGTTGTCTACTATGATGTTGTCTACTATGATGTTGTCTACTATGATGTTGTCTGCTATGATGTTGTCTACTATGATGTTGTCTGCTATGATGTTGTCTGCTATAATGTTGTCTACTATGATGTTGTCTACTATGATGTTGTCTGCTATGATGTTGTCTGCTATGATGTTGTCTACTATGATGTTGTCTACTTCCGTTATTATGCTGTCTCACAACTTTTTTTTCCAGCAAACGCTTCAGGAAGGAACAACTAACCGAGTGGTTAGAACACTTAGTCGAATGGTTAGAACACTTAATGGAGTGGTTAGAACACTAATCGAGTGGTTAGAACGCTGAGTTCGCATACGGGAAATCCGGGCTCTAATTCTCGGTAAGGTGATACAAGTTTTATTTTTCCTTTCCGCGGGTAAAAACAAAAATCCTTGCCTGCCTTTACCTTTTTTGAGCTTGGTGTTTCCACAGGAGAGTCCAGCATTCCAACTTTGACCAGACAATTCTCACGCTCTTAATCAAGCCGTCCTAACCTGCACAGTTCGTGGCGGCTGTAATAGTCACGCTGTTTTATACACGCTTGTATGCTTTAAAGGTGTCGTTTAAATATGTGTATGTGGACGAACTACTTTACTTTTCTAACTATGAACTCATTCATCACCGTTTTCTGAAATCCAGTGTTGGCTGTTCCTTCTGCAGTTGTTTTCTTGCTATATCATGAATTTTTTTTCGTCAGTATTACCACCTTCTGAAGAATTCAAATGTAACATACAATTGTTAATACCCGTTTTTTGTCCTGACATATAATCAATCCAAATATATACTACTACTCCATATATTGTAAATATAATACAGCAGGATTGGTTGCTTTTCAAAATGGGTAGCATAATGTGTTCAGGCTCACAACCTTGATGCCAAGAATTTGGGCAGATCGTTGGTAGTTAACGGACTATACGTTTTCTTCTCTGTGTCCAGAAAATACAGGGGATCGGTGACCTTAGTTAGGTCAAAGCCTTGATTCATCAGCTCAAATTTCTGCTGTTTAAAGGTTCCCGTCACAATGGCTTCGTCCAAATGACGTATAAATAGAGGTCTGGCGTAGGTTGGTAGTTCTTCACAGACATGATCATACAAAGTTTTCAGTTCTTTTGGACCAAGAACGTAGCCTTCATTCAATGTTAAGGCCACCATTCCCGCTCTGCCTTCGTTGCCTGTGATGGGACAAATAAAACATTTAAACATTGCCTGAGGTGGGACAAATAAAACATTTAAACATTGCCTGAGGTGGGACAAATAAAACATTTAAACATTGCCTGAGGTGGGACAAATAAAACATTTAAACATTGCCTGAGGTGGGACAAATAAAACATTTAAACATTGCCTGAGGTGGGACAAATAAAACATTTAAACATTGCCTGAGGTGGGACAAATAAAACATTTAAACATTGCCTGAGGTGGGACAAATAAAACATTTAAACATTGCCTGAGGTGGGACAAATAAAACATTTAAACATTGCCTGAGGTGGGACAAATAAAACATTTAAACATTGCCTGAGGTGGGACAAATAAAACATTTAAACATTGCCTGAGATGGGACAAATAAAACATTTAAACATTGCCTGAGGTGGGACAAATAAAACATTTAAACATTGCCTGAGGTGGGACAAATAAAACATTTAAACATTGCCTGAGGTGGGACAAATAAAACATTTAAACATTGCCTGAGGTGGGACAAATAAAACATTTAAACATTGCCTGAGGTGGGACAAATAAAACATTTAAACATTGCCTGAGGTGGGACAAATAAAACATTTAAACATTGCCTGAGGTGGGACAAATAAAAACATTTAAACATTGCCTGAGGTGGGACAAATAAAACATTTAAACATTGCCTGAGGTGGGACAAATAAAACATTTAAACATTGCCTGAGGTGGGACAAATAAAACATTTAAACATTGCCTGAGGTGGGACAAATAAAACATTTAAACATTGCCTGAGGTGGGACAAATAAAACATTTAAACATTGCCTGAGGTGGGACAAATAAAACATTTAAACATTGCCTGAGGTGGGACAAATAAAACATTTAAACATTGCCTGAGATGGGACAAATAAAACATTTAAACATTGCCTGAGATGGGACAAATAAAACATTGTATTTAAAAAAAAACTGCCTGAGGCGGGACGAAAAAAATTTTGTTTTTTTTAAACTGCCTGTGGCAGAACAAACAAAATATGAAAACATTGCTTCTGGTGGGACAATACAAATATACAAACATTGCCTGTTGTGGGACAAACAAAATATGAAAACGTTGCCTGTGGCGGGACAGTACAAAATAAAAACATTGCCTGTGGCGGGACGGTACAAATTTAAAAACATTGCCTGTGGCGGGACTGTACAAAATAAAAACATTGCCTGTGGCGGGACAGTACAAAATAAAAACATTGCCTGTGGCGGGACGGTACAAATTTAAAAACATTGCCTGTGGCGGGACGGTACAAATTTAAAAACATTGCCTGTGGCGGGACTGTACAAACATAAAAACATTGCCTGTGGATGGACTGTACAAACATAAAAACATTGCCTGTGGCGGGACTGTACAAACATAAAAACATTGCCTGTGGCGGGACAGATTGTCTATCATCTTATTCCTCTCCACATCCAGCTACTGTAAACTCCGGCGGAACGTTCTTATTCCAGAATTTATGTGTTGCGTGCACATCAGTTTTACAGATCTGACTTATTGGCATGCAGATGTACTCTGACTTCGAAGGAAGCCACCAATTAGTTGACTTTTAAGACATGCTTATTGGGGAGACAGTGGAGGACCGGTTCTTGTTTCCCTCACATGAGAGCCGGGACTCCACACTGGCAGAAACAGAATATGAAACAAATATTGACAATAATCAGAAATGTTTTCAGGTCAGTGGGTCGACTCTGGGTTTTATTCCTAAAGACTTAGTTTCTCCTCGTAGAGCGTCGGGCTGCCATTCAAGACGATCTCACATAGAGATCTCTGCAGCTTCGTGTGATTTCGGGGACTCCGAAAAAGTGCACTTATGAACCGAACAGCACATTACAAAAACGAACCACCAACCTTCGTAGAGAGAGATAAATAGCTTGTCTAGTTTGCCAGAAAGGATCATCGGCGCTGGGTTGCCTATTCGCTTCCCGGTAGACGACTTCGTCGCCTGTCGGGACAGTATTTGGCTCCGTCCCTGTGATCGCATCAATGCTGTAAGAGTCCTTTTACAGGCTCTAGGTGGCGTGCAATGCTAAGCCATTTTACATGACGCACATAACCTAATCACAATTATAACCTAAAGCTAACCATTAAGAGGTGCTGGCTGAACGTGACGTTTTTTTTTTTTTCCTTCAGCAAAGCAAGAAAAGAAGGCCAGAAAGGACTTCAGTCAATAGCACTACTTAGGATATAGGTATCATTGACACAAAGAACAAAACTGTATCCATAAACACACCTTTTAAAATACATGTCATGTATTTCTAAAACGTAAAAGGGATTGGGAAGTAATAATTGTTCAATATTCTATCGCACACGTCGTAGACAGACATGTGGCAAGATGGAACAAGAACTGCAGCTTCAAAAGCTGGCCATTAGGTAGCCAAAGCTTTCTATGTCTACATCAGTGGCTGCTATACAGTTACCTCTTAATAATTTTTTTATGTTACATGTGATTGCGTAATTACTCAAATTGGAATATAATGAAGCTTTATATTTCAAATCTCAAAGAAGATCAAATAATTTGGTCATTCGTTAGAATGCAGCCATTACAACTACCAACATTGAAATGCAGCCATTACAACTACCAACATTGAAATGCAGCCATTACAACTACCAACATTGAAATGCAGCCATTACAACTACCAACATTGAAATGCAGCCATTACAACTACCAACATTGAAATGCAGCCATTACAACTACCAACATTGAAATGCAGCCATTACAACTACCAACATTGAAATGCAGCCATTACAACTACCAACATTGAAATGCAGCCATTACAACTACCAACATTTAAATGCAGCCATTACAACTACCAACATTGAAATGCAGCCATTACAACTACCAACATTGAAATGCAGCCATTACAACTACCAACATGAAAGCCAGAGGTTGCACTACGAAAGATGGTTTGATGATATTTTGCGTCGACATGAAATGATAAGAGCCATTGCTGCCCATCAAGCAATGGATTGTCAACTAATCCTCCACACAACACTCAAGGGCAAAAGTAAAAATTAACGAGATGATAATTCGAAAATCTACATGCGAATTTAGAACACCTAAAGAAATATAATCAATTATATTTTACTATCACCAAGACAACCCTCACCCTTTCTACCATCATGTGTGGTCTATCCAGGTGGTACGTCTAAAACCAACATTACTCAACTGACTCATTATAGCGACACTTACCTGGGACTTCGACTCCATAAACATTCGCATCGTGAACAAACTCTACAGCCGTGATAACGTTGGCAACTTCAGTAGTAGACACATTCTCTCCTTTCCATCTGTAATGATGAAAATATTTCATAAATGTATATCTAGTGGAATCGTCACCATCTCTCGTAAACACAAAGTGACAGTATTGGGTGTTTGTAAAAAGACTTTTCCAACTAAGGCCGTATTTAAACTTAATGAGGCTATTAGTTATATAAAGCCCTGAGTCCCCCACAGTTTAAATCACACCAGCTATTCTCAGAAAAGTGTAAAATTTATACGCCTGTTACGGATAATAGAAATACATGGTGGTTTAATTTTTTATTACAAGGCATAACAAATAATGTGTTTGCAAAACAACACAAATAATATTATCTAGTCCTCTAAAAGGCACACAACTTCAAGTATTTATCTTTTGCTTGAAATAGCAATTGTTTGAGACACCTGCAAATTGTGAAGTCCTTATATGAAGGTTAATTAGTTTATACCTAAATTTAGGACTGCTTCCAGAGATCGTTCATGTCTCTATTTATCAGCCGCGGTATTTTCTGCGGTGGCTACCTAATAAATAACTCATTCACAAGAAATCCGAATTGACCCTTCCGGAGAATTACATGAAAGTTAGTCCTGATGACTACCTTTCTGTATTTGTTGTTTCCGTCTTTTCAGACTAGCAGGCAAGCAGGATCTGCTGGCGTTTAAAAAAAAAAGTCTTCAGCAATTAGAGTACGGGATTTCAAACTTACTGGTCACTGTGTGGGTTCCGGGGCCCTAGTATAGGAAAACCAAGAATAGACCCACTGTCTACCCAAAAGCATGTCGTAAGAGTCGACTAATTGGGAGCTTGCTTCGAATTTGAAGTGCATCTGCCTGAGAGGAAAGAAACCAGCAGTGTGCATACAAATGAGTCAGATCTGTAAAACGGATGCACACGTGTCACTCAGGTTCTAGAAAAAGACTGCAGTCCAGAAGTGGATGAAAAACCAGAACTTTCCGCCAGAGTTTACAGCTGGTGAACGCAAAGAAGAAGAAACCTGCTGGCGTGAAGAAATGTCTTCAACAATTAGAGCACATGATTTCAATTTCATTGTTAATATCGCATGTACTCAAACGTTCTTCTTCCCAGATATTCGGCTCCTAACATATATGTAATCATTTTCTCCTCTATCCATATTCCTTTCCTGATTTCTTTATTCGTGCAACCCTGGCCATGGCATCATGTGTTAAAAAATTCACCTCGATACATATATCACTCATGCTCCACGTACAGAATCTTTAGCAGAAGACTTTGACACCTTCTGCTCATCAGTGATTCACAATAGAGGATGTCCTTAGCGATCTAACAGTCCTCCTTTCTTCAAGAGTGTCCTAGCCCTTGAAGACTATGTACTGAGGAAAAAACTGTTGCTACTAGCGGAGGTTTGACCACGCTGCGATTAAAAAATGTCATTGCGGATGGCAAGCCAATATAGAAGCCAAGTCTCCGGTAATGTAAATAAAGGACATTTTCCCCACGCCTTCAAGCGTATTAGGCCTAGACCTATATTTTATTGACTAATCGGCAGTTAGAGGATGTTGCAGCATCAATCCAGCCGCCCTAACTTCCCAGGACTTTAACTGGTACCCAGTTAAGGCTAGGTCGATCGGGGGGGGGGGGGGGGGGGAAGGAGAATAATTTTTGAAAAATTCTGGCTCTATTAGGACCTGAACACACGACCTTCCGATCCACCGGTGAGCGTCTAGCCGCTACACCACGGCGGCTTCCTTTATCTTAGGCACC